AGATTTATGGCCAAAACAAATATAAACAGAACTGCGACGCGTGGTGGTGTTGTCAACCGGCCCTCAACTCTATTCTCGAAATTTTCTATATTCCTGAAAATATGTTAATGAATTAAGAAAAACATCTTAAGGAAAAAGACTGAATTAGTCACCTTCCAAGTCGCTGCGTGTGGCATTACGTAGTAAGAAAGCTATTGAGATAGTACACTACTCATTGATTATTTTTATTTACAATTAAAGAATTGTTATTTATTGTTTGTTTCAACTCAAAACAAATAAACAACTTTGTACATACACAATCGAATCGATTATATACGCACACAAACTAACACATGTACATATCCACACTTATCTAAGTGTGTGCGCTTTTTGTTTGCTAAAGCGAGCAAGCGAGATGTTTGAATGGAAATGAGGGTCAACACCAGTACTACCACAACAACAACAACAACAACAATAAGCACAACAACAGCCAACAAACATGTGAGTGCTGCGTGATTATCACGCACTCATCGCGTGCAAAATACATGAGCCGGCAAACTGCTCGCTCTCACACACTTTGTCGCTCTCGCTCTCTCTCTCTCTTACCCTCTCTTTCTCTTTTTCCATCTTCTTCTTTCTTTCTCACTCTCTGCAGCTCTTGTTTTGGTTCTCAATCCCACCCTCAACTCCGCTTGGCTGTGAAAAAGCGCATTGGCTGTTGGCCGCAAGCTACACAAGTTATGGAATTGGTGTGTTAAAAACAGAATGCGGAGATGGAAAACGCAATGCACATATATACATAAAAACAAACAGACACATACACATACATACGCACATCTTTTGTGCGTAAAGCTGTCTTTGTTCTTTGTTGCTAAACATGAATTTACGCCTTAATATCTTTGCATCCTGATAATAAAAATTTCAGAAATCACTTTGCAGCCTGGTGAAAATGCGATGAGGTCAGTTTTTGACTGTGAACATTTCGCAACACTTAAAATGTAAACATCTTGAGTTATACGACAGGCACACTTTGAGAACGTAAATATACATACATATGTATATGCATATATGTATGTATATGTGTAAATACATACGCAGTGCTTTACGACTTCAGATCGAAAAAAGCGAAAGTCCCATAAAATTGGACAATGTAAACCTTGCGACACACGAATTTATTGCGCACAGATATTAACATTAATTAAAGTCAATTTATGTTATCAATTAAACTCTCATGTTCAATAAAAGAAATAATGCCAATGGCACAGAAGATGGGTCAATTGTTTGTGAGATCAGCTCATGAAGGCTCGTCAAATGCTAAATAATTGATTTATTATTATTTTGAGCCACACTTTAATTGGAAATGGAATTCTCCATTCAATTTGAATAATAGATACATTCGTTTGAATAATGATTGACAATGCATTTGTGGCGCCAAAGTGCCTTAAAAATGTGGCCCAATTGCTTTTAACGGCCTCTCACAGTTGCTCCGGCGGGCAGCTGATTTACATGCCGGGGAAATGTAACAAATTATGCATCAGTGAGACATTCAATTTTATTGTAATCGCTTGCATTTAACCGGACTGAACTGTACACAGGCCGATGCTATTTTTAGGCCCTTTGTGTTATTGGCGATGATCAACACAAAAGACCAGCGTCCACGTTTGCGGCTTGTGATTATGATTTCTGATATGAATTTAATTTACAATCGTCGATTATATACATATATACACACACATATATACTATTAGAATCTGAGTGCGGATTTCTTTTGTTTTCAATTTCAAGACTGGAGCACTTGCGTTGTCGAGTGGAATATCCAGGGACTGATAGGATGCCACGAGCTGCTTTTTTATTTACTATGCACTCGATGGTCATTGGAGGAGTTGTTTATGCATGATAGCATTATACGATTACAATTTAAATATGCTTTATTATGGTATACAAGAATATTATGTATGTATTATGTTGGCTTGAATGTATGTACATACATACATGTATGCATATGTATATGTGAGTGGGTCCACGCAGACGCCCAGTTTTGGCACGCCAGTTACGAATTACGCAGTAAATGTGCCTCAGTAACGCTATTTGCCAATAACATGGAAATATGATACCCAAATCTAGGCAATCCTTGTTTTTGTATGTTTTTTTTTTGCTAACGGTACACCCAAAGATAGAATACGCCTCATCCATATGTCATAAACGAATTGCGTAATTTAACTTAATTAGCAGCTTACCTTATAAAAAATATTATTATCAATCGACACAATTTGTAGTTACTGGAAGGTTCTCCAGTTAATAAATCTTCTTTGTTTTTATCAAAATAGTCAAAAATTGAATGTTAACTATGTCCACGCTCCTGAAGCGCTTTTAAAAATGCAATAATTTTTTGCGCTACTTGTTTTCCTTGCAAATCCTTTTTCACTGTTATAGACAACCGTTGCCGCACGGCATACAACTCAAAGGAGGATACGTTTGACTTTGAAATCTCCTTTGCTGGATACTAACAAAACAGCAATGTAAGTGTAAATATAAGAAACGCGTCTGCGCAGTTTAAGTGCCAAAAGTTTGCATTTAAAATTTAACTGCCAGTGCTCCAACGTATTTCACAGCACAGCTCTTAACAACATTTAGCAACACTGAATATGCCAAGTCATTTAGCTGACTGATATGAATAGCGTGACAAAAAGCTGGCTACTCTAATATAATATATATATTGTTTAGCGCGCCTTTATTTGTTGTGGTTTTTTTTATACTTTCACCGGCAGCAAAATAATCAATAAAAAGGTCAAAAATGAGTGTAAGTACATGATTAAGATATTCTAATGACCATGCGCAAAGCGTCACGATTGATTTTCGCCTGTTTTAAGATATGCCCCTCGACAAATATGTCCGATTCGTATTGCAAATAGTTGACGCACTTTTCCACATACAGCAAAGATTCCTCAAGCATTTCCCTGGGTGAGAGATTCGATTGTAGCGCGATGCGTCGTGTATTCTCGGAAATAGCTGAATGCAGCTCAAAGCAGAGTGTACCCAGCATTCGGACTTCACCTATTTCATAATTTTAGTAAATTTGAGTACATTTTATATGGATCAACTTACAGGGCGCTAGAGTTTCATAGAGTTCAATCAATTCCTTGGCATATTTCAATTTCAGTTGCAGATGCTCATCGGATAGTATCATTAGCTCCTGCTGATCCTTGGCAATCAGCTGCACCTGCAGAATCTTAACCTCGCTCAGGTGATAATGCTGCGTGGGCAACCATTTCTCGTAGTGCTTAAGATATCTGGGAGTAACAGTGAAGAGTTGATCGCTAGCTTAAGGAAGGCAACCTTGACTTACTTGAAACCATTTTCGGCCGTTTTTTCCATGCTTTGAATATCCTGACTGGCGCGCTCCAATATGCCGTCCACGTACTTTCGCTGCACTTGTTTCTGGCACTCGCGACAGCTGAAACCAAAGACAATTTCGATTTAAAGATCTCGTTGGAAAGACGAACCATAAACACAAACCGCCAGCTGCCATGCCAGTCGTCCGCCTTGTTCGGCAACAAGAGGCCGGGACACTTGCGATCCTCGCACTTGAGGGCGCTATAGTTGGTGCCCAGCTCGGTGACGTCCAGGCAGCGCTCGCAGCTGCACTTGAAGAGCTTCGTCTGCATCAGATGCCGCTGGCGATCGGCTGTGCCCCAGACGGCGTCCGAGTAACAAATGCTCAAATGCGAGTTCTTTTTGATCTCCTTCGGGGCCCAGAGCATGCAGTGTCCGTGCTTGTTGAAGCTCTTGGCCAGATTGGGCACACACGAGTTTTCCGTAAACGAGGCCGTATAGAATACCGCCACATGTGGCGGATCCGATGTGGGCACCTCGTGTCCATTGATTTGCAGAGCGCCCACGGCACGCATGATCTCCTCCTCGCTGAACTTCTGTGTGCGAAAGAATCTGTGCGGGGAAAATGATTAAGTGGCAATATACTTGACATGATTGCTGGGATGTATGTACTTGGGTATGAACTGTCCAATGCTGGCCAGGTCAGCCTTCCACTGGTTCGAGCCGCGACGTGTTTGCTCCAACGTTTCCAGCTGCTTGAATTTCGCCGCATTTGCCGGATTCGTCTCGCCAATGAGTAGGCATCTCACCGTGCTGACGCAGGTGTACAGCGGATGCGGTCCATTGAACTCCTGCACGTTCACCTTTTGACCCCTCTCCTGTGTCAGCTGGCACTCGGCCCTGTGCTCGTCCAGAGCGTGGCACTCCGGCCCACAAAGCGGCCAGCCGCACTTGTCGCAGGTGATGTGATCGTTCGGCTCGATGCAGTTCAGGCAGCCCATGCAAACCGGCGCCGAGATTTGGGACGGGCCGCGCACCAGCGGCGCCTCCTTTATGACAATCTCATACGGTTTGATGTTACGTGTGGCTACCAAATGGCGACCCAGCAGCTCGTTTTGCGCTATCTGCAACAGTTCAGTTTTTGAGGTTAGAATTTGAAGGCAGCTTCCAATTGAATCATCTAAAGTTAATTGGAACCTTAAATGGATAGCACTGGGATTTGTGCGCCTTCCAGTCCTGCTTCTGATGCTGCACCGAGCAGTATGAGACCTGGTTGCAGTTGGAGCATTTGTTTTTTGTTGCAGTCTCGCACACCTGACACGGATTCATTCTTTTTTGCAATTGTTCTCTGGGAAATGCCGCCACTCAAATTATAGATTTTCAATTAGAGAATTTCGACACAATGCATGTGCATGCACACACGTTTCCGTTTCACTGCCTCAGACCAGAGCAGCGCCGAGATGTGGGACAAGAGAGATGGGCATATAGAGAGCATATAGAGAGCCCGTACGGGGGGCTCTATAAATAGACCACACACAATTAACGTGGGGTGGACCAGTGCTGAGCACGATTCTTTTCTAGTTGGCATCCCATTTGCTCCGAACTAACAGCTGATGGGATGCCAACAGAACAGATCCTAAACTGGAAATTCACAAATGGCGTACAGTTCTTGAATCGTTTAATTAGTTTTGGTTTTGTTTTTTGTGTTTCGTTACTTAAGTTCATTTATTTTCTGTGTTTGCGCCTTTGGAGGCAACATTATGTACAATTTGTGTGTCTGGAGGTAGTTAAGGAAGGGAGTGGGTTGGGCGTGGTGATTGGGTGTAAATGTGTAACACAAAGCGTAACACTCGCTTTTTGCTTTTTTGATAACTTTCATTCATCTTTCTCGGGGGTGGTATCTACAACAACAACTCGTATCTGACGAGGGCTAACGTTGTGTGTGTATAATATTTGTTAGCAATCCATACGTTTCAATTTATAAATACAATTTTTACATAGTTTATATATATATATATATAGCCTCCACCCCATTAAACAGTGAGGTATTTAACTATTTCTAATGCCTAAACTTTGCTTTTGGCCTAAACATCGGCAGCGATTGACACTCATAAAATGCTTCAGTTTTCCGTTTCGCACCGGCTGTCGATCATATATCAGTCTCCTCATTGGCTCCATTTGCCTCGCGCAGCATCACAAATTTCTGCAGCTTAACATTCTCTTTGTTGTTATGATTGCGCAGCTTGTTTCTCTCGCGCTTCTTATCCCGCGCCCCATTAACCTGGAAATTATCACTTTGGAATGGTATTGTGTATTCTGTTTGAAATGCAGTTCCTGTCTCCAGCGTCGCCGTCGCCGTCGCTGTCGCTCTTTGTTCCCTGTCTCGAATATCGTGGTCAGCCTCAGTTTTAATCAATGCTCCAGAGGCAGCATCCGCTTGCGGATTATAGAGACCTTAACGGTTAAACAATTCTTTAATATTGCTTATAAATTTGATTGCTGCCCATATTTACCTCTCGCACCAAACATCTCGGAGTGCTGTTTGAGGGCGTTGCGATTTCGGCCACGCTTACGCATATTCATACGCAAAGCTGCGACCTTAATGCTTCTGGCATTCGAACGGCCACGCCTTGAGCTAATATTGTTGGTACTGGTTGTGTTGCCATTTGACATCGTATCTGTATATGCTGCTTCGGGCTTTGTGGGCGGCAGATCCTGCTCAGCTGGCCGCATTTCTGGTCCTGGCGATGATGATGGCGTTGGACTTTCGTTGTGGGCTCTGCCCAAATTGCTTTCCGTGTCCGATTGATTGTATTGGTAGATGTCAGTGGAAATATCCAGATCTTCATCCTCATCCTCGTCATCGTCCTGATCGATTATTTCAATCTCATCGGCCTCATCATCGGACAACGCACTTCTCAGCATTATTTCGGGTCCGCCGCCATAAATGCCGCGTAGAAATCGCCAGAGGGGCGCATTGAGCTGTGCATAGTCAGAGCCAGCGCGCACACAGCTGATGGCCGACCCGTTCAGCAAATTGGTGTCGGCAATGCCCTCATTGTTAATGGGTCCCGGCTCCTTGTGGGTTATACCGCGCAGAAACTGCTGCCACGCGCGCAGCCAAGGCATGGCGATCGCATAGATGGCAGTCGCATCCAGTTCGCTCTGCTGCACATTGTATTTGGTAAAGACGGCCAGTTCGTATTGCTGGCGGCGATACAGCACATCGGCGGCACGCTTGCATATATCGCACTCGAACATAATGTTAACGGCCGGACCGCCGCCAAAACGGTTGTAGAGAAAGTCCCACAGTGGCTGCGGAATGGGCACGGCAATTTGACTAATTAACGATGCTTTGGAATGTAGAATACCACCGTGTGGGCACAGCATATCCTGATTGTTTATCGGACCCGGCTCCGAGAACGTGGCCAGCCGTGATAGCCACTCGCGTGTCACATAGAATTGTATATCGCCTTCGTATAACGGATTCGAGGTGGACAAATTGATAGCCTCCTCGCGCACCATTTTCATTTGGGGATTGTGTTTTTGGTAGAATAGCACATACGCCTGACAGTTCTGTACTACATCGGGCGTAACCTCCATCACGAGCTGGTCATCAAATTCGTACCAGCGTCCATTGAGCGCGTTGCGCGCATAGCACGTATAGTGGCCGCCTCCGACGGTGCCATGGTGACAAATGACCGAGCATAGATTGTACGTGGGCACCAGCGATGTGCAATCCTTGTGCAGATACGGCCGCATATCGAAGCCCTCGAGCGGAAAGTACACATGCGAGGATATCTTTGAGCTGTAGGAGAGATCGTGCCTGAAACGCTTCAGATGGATGCACAACACCTCCGGCAAGTTGAGCACACGCGAATACTTGATGCCCGTACGCAACTTGTTGCAGCGTTCGCAGCTGCAACCGAAAATACACAGGGATTACGTATTTGCTTTATATGATAATCAATTCGCCCCGTTTACCTGTACATGTTGTCGCCTTTGAGCTCATCCGCGCTGAAAAAACTGGCCATGCAATCGTAGAGCGTTACAGATGGACCGAATATCCATGAGCGCACCATATTCCACATCCAGGCAAGCCAGCCCTCGTTGCTGCGCGCCGATGCCAGGTCGGCTGCATTAAGACTCTGTACGCTCAGGCTGTGTGTCTGGTGCAGCACATTTAGAAAGTCACGGGTCGGTATGGGCAACGATAGATCCTGGAATGTTTCTTCGCGTGTAGAGATCCGATCACAAGTCAGGCACTGCACAGATGATAGCAGTTTGCCGTCGAATACATCGCTGATGATTGAATGTGCCGCCTCCACTGGCTTCGATTCTTGAACTGTCTTCGGGCTTTGCTGTTGCGTTGTGGATGTATCTGATATGGGATTGCTGCTGCTGTTCCGATGCGGCGCTATGTAGTACTCTGTCTTCATTATAACTTCTGAGGAGCGCTCCGAGATGCTACTCTCACAGGTATCGTACTCGCTTTCTGATGCGCTGGGCGTATGACATGCCTTTGGCACCTCATCGCAATTCTCATCATCAGTTTCGCTCGCCTGCTGCTGCTGTTGGCTTTGTGGTAGCTGCGGCTGTGGCGGCTCCGTTAGCTCCTCGTGCAGCTGATCCATAAAGCAGCGTAGGAATTCTTGCGTGTCATGTTGCTGATAGCCACGAAACATTGGATGTACTGACCGTATGCCATACAAAATACCACGCGGCGCCAGAAAATCTGCAATAATTGAATATTCAATTGAGAAGCATTTCAAACGAGATGCATATACTAATTACCCTTTGGATCGTCGACATCCAGCCACATTTCCTGCATCAGGCGTTGATAGCTTTTAGCTAAACCAGCCGGCTTGGAGCGCGGCGTGCTTGCAATATGCTCCACAAGATCGCTGCAGTTGATAAAGTAATGCGTCACCGGAGATAAATTACTGAGCGCCTGCAGAGCCGAATTCATGTAACACGTATTCGCAATATTCTGCAGGCCGACAAGGCCAGTGCCCGAGCCCGTGGCTTCATCATCGAAGTCATCGCGCTTGGCTAACGAATTAAGCGAGCAGCTAAAGAGTTTTCCTTTATCCTGGTATCGCATGTTACGCATCGACAGGCTGTTTATCGTCTATATCAATAAGAGTGCAGGGTATTGGTAAAATTGAAAAGTCATGTAACAGAGTTTGATTCTGCTGGCTCACCTTTTGACCCAGGTCCAATTCGGTGCAGTGCTTACTTTCTATGTATGAGCATTTTTGTGGATTGTTGAAACTCAAACTCATTATATGGTTCGCTTTCGAATGATTATTATTACAACTTTAATTGAGAATTTTGATAAGAGTTCGTTTTTTTTTTTTATTTTTGTGGTGCTTTGAACGCTACGCTAGCGAATGTAACTACTGCATTGACCAGGCGTTGTACTGGAAGACCGAAGCTTCCAGAACATGCAAGTTGACCAATGGTTGTATCCACGAATTTTAAAGGACAAAAATCTACCACTTTCGCTATAAAAATAAAAAAAAATTGTTTTTATGCCTTCAGACAGTTCGCTCGAATATAGAGATGGCCGATACTTACGCACTTGTTACTTTGTCACGAGTACATATAGCACAGCAGCGAATCGAGTGTGGGTCAAAACTGCCATATTGCTATTGTGACCTTTTAAAAAAAATTCAATCAACCAATTATTTGCTCTATAAAACATGTTCTAGTGTCGGATTGCCTGTGTTAGGCTTTGCACGGGTCTCAGTGGAGGCCAGTCGATCAGTTCGGTAGATCCGATAAGATAGTCGATATTTTGCTGTTCTTGGCTTAGTAGAAGAGCATTACAAATAAGTAGCGTTCCATATCTATTCCAATTGAATGTACAACTTATAAGGTTTAGAAATCGATTTAACTAAATTCGCTTCTGTTATAGTTAGATTTTGCCGTTGATATCGATTGAGCTTTATCCAGTGATCTGCTAAATTCAAATTTGTGCCGAAAAAGGGATTTGCTGTTAAAAATGAACTAAGAACGGTCTTTTACCAGCTATATTTCGAACTTGGTTCCGGAACCGGAGCAATATATTATTTTGTGATGTTAAGGCCGTCCCTGCAGACAGAGAAAATTACATAATTACCCTAATGTAGTTCCGTCAAAATGCTTATCGAACTGTTAGCTCGAACTGGAACTAAACTACTTCTTGAAATTAGTGTTGCACAATTTTATTAGGCAATGAGCGGGAACAAACCAATTCAAATTATTTGTATTTCTCAAAATGACCGATGCTATCTTGACGCAGGTTATTGTCAACCGTTGATGAAAGAATATAATATTTTAGAGCTTTGAAATATTCAAATTTTCATTAAATTCTGGAAGTTTGTATCTTAAGAACTAAAATATTAATATGGATCTAGACGTGTAAATCCATATATATTATAATATTAGTTGTGCTTTGATTGCAAGGCTGCAATAGATCGAAAGCCATTTACATGGTGCCGGTTTGTAATTTGTGCAACGTGTAGTAGAGTCCACGGTTCTGGAGAAGCTCTTTGTGATTGCCGCTTTCACAGACGACTCCGTTCTCGAATACGTAGATTATATCCGAGTCAGCAATGGTGGACAATCTATGGGCTATGCTAATTGTGGTGCGTCCCTCGGCAGCCACATCCAATGCCTCTTGAACGATCTGTTGGATAAGCACGAATAAGCATTAAATATTTTACATGTAGCAAAAATAGTTGCCAACTTACCTTCTCACTTTCCGCGTCCAGTGCGGAGGTAGCCTCATCGAGCAGAAGTATTTTCGGATTTCTAATTAGGGCGCGTGCAATGGCAATACGTTGTTTCTGCCCTCCGGATAGCTGCGCGCCCTTCTCACCCATTCGTGTTTCATAGCCCTGGCAAAAAAGAAGGGAAGATGTTGTCATATATTTTAGCGAAGCATATTGGACAGAGACTCACCAGTGGCAAATTGGCAATGAACTGATGTATATTGGACTTCTTGGCCGCCGCTATAATCTCCTGGTCGGTGACGATTCGGGAATTGTCACCATAGGCAATATTTTCACGTATGGTGCGATCGAATAGTATCGGCTCCTGCGAGACAATGCCCAGCTGCATGCGCAGATTTGAAACGGCCAATTGTCGGATATCGTGGCCATCGATCTGCACGGCGCCAGCGTCCACGTCATAGAATCGCTGCAGCAGCTGAATGCAAGTGGATTTGCCGCATCCTGACGGACCCACCAGTGCCACTTTCTGGCCAGTTTGCACCGCCAGAACTAGGTCCCGGAGCACCTGGAGTTCCTGACGCGTTGGATAGCTAAATTGCACCTTATCGAACATCACATTGCCGTTAGAGTGCCAGGGCTTCAAGGAGACGCCAGGACTGTCGGCAATTAGTGGCTTACGCTCCAGGAATCTCAGTATGGTCACCGCTGCACTTATCCCCTTCTGCATGTTGGGAGCAAAGGCCAAGGCGCTGCCGATGGATGCCGTGCCTATGATCAATGCCTCCGATACTCTGCAATGGGACATGTAACATACTTATGGGTAATTTTTCCAAGGTTTGTTGGATTCGCTGTGGCTCACTTAAACACATCCCCGAACTTGAGACCCCGATTGACCACACACCAACCGCCATAGGACATGCATGCCGCATAGGCAAAGAACATCATTGAGTTTGCCAGGCCGTAGATAAGGCCTCGATAGTGCGTATTCTTCTGGGAAGTCTACACAATGAAATAGGGTTAATATATGATTGTCGGAAGCACGAGAAGTGTCTCGCTCACCTTAACGGCTGGCGACAGCGTTTCGATGTAGCTCCGATGGAACATGTCCTCTCGTCCCAGGGAAACCACGGTGCGAATATTTGAGACCACCTCAACGGCCAATTTGGTTGTGTTCTCCATTATTTTGGCATTGCCCATATTCTCCTGTTCCATTATAATGCTCTGCATATAGAAGGAGACTAAAATTAAGGGCGTAAACGCCAAGGCCACCAGACCCAAGCTCCACTCATAGTACATGGATAGGGCGATGCTCAGCAGCAGAGTTGCGATCGATTGGATAATGCTGCCAATGCGCTGACCTGTCGCCTGCAAGGATAAATACAAAATATATAGCAGTATGTAATAGGAGCAATGTTACTTGAAAGAATACCCATGTTAATAATCGATATTAAAAAAGTCTATCGATAGGCAGGAGAGACGAGGCACGAGCTAAGAGTGCGATCTCTAGAGATATCGGCATAGCAGGGGCATTGTGAAATTACAAAACCCGTTAAAGAACCAAATGCAGTCTACAAATATATATTGCTTAAACATTTTTGATCAACTTACGCCCTGTACAGCGGCTGCATCACCGGATAGCCGGGCGCAGAGACTTCCCGTGCCGTTGGCACGATCATCAAACCAGGCCACCTCCTGCTTCAGCATGCTACTGAACAGCAGACCTCTTAGGCGCTCCGTGAGGCGCTCGCCCGCAATGCCGAAGAAGAATATCTGCATAAATGTGGCCAAGCCAACAACAATGCCAGCGATCAGGAAGTACAGACTGTACTGGGACGTGTTCTCCCTGACGTAATCATCGTCCTGGGATTCCATAACTTGCAGAATGCTGCCAAAGAGCAAGGCGAAAACGGGCATCGCAAAGCCCATTATGATCGAACATATACAACCCACTGTGATTTGCATCCATTCCGGTTTGTTCAGCTTCATGATGCCCCACAAGATAGAGCTCTCATTTTTGTCCTTCTTTGCCTTTTTCTTATTCTTTTGAAGTTTCGGATCTTCTTCCTCGTCGACAGCGTCGTGTATAATTTTAATTTCCTGTTCGTCCTCATCCTTTATATCGAGATTCTTATAGATGTTTCCGCTGGGACTGAGAGCGCTGCCATCGTCATCCACCATCTGCGTGGTTACCAAATTGAAGTAGTGGCCCTTTATCATCATCAGTTCCTGGTGAGTGCCGGTCTCGACGACCTGGCCATTGTTCAGCACCACGATCCTGTCGGCACGACGTACTGTAGATAGACGATGGGCCACAATGACGGTGGTCCGACCCTGGCTAACCTTTTCCAGGGCAGCCTGCACCTTGGCCTCGCTGGCCGTATCGAGGGCGGAGGTCGCCTCATCCAACAATAGTATTTCCGGATCACGAATCAGAGCGCGAGCGATGGCAATGCGTTGTTTCTGCCCGCCGGACAATTGAGCTCCACGTTCACCCACCAGTGTATCGTAGCCCTTCGGCAGTTTTTTAATGAATATGGCCGCATTTGCTGCTGCGGCTGCCGCCTCAATGTCCGCCCTAGTGGCATCCTCTTGGCCATATCGTATGTTCTCATATATGGATTGGCCAAAGAGCACGGGCTCCTGGCCGACCACTCCGATGCGCCCACGCAGCCATTTAATGTTGATATCCTTAATGTTGGTGCCGTTAAGGAAAATGTTTCCGGCCTGCGGATCATAAAAGCGCTGCAACAGTTGTATGCAGGTGGACTTGCCACATCCCGAGGGGCCCACCAGAGCCACCGTCTGGCCGCGATGGATCTGCAGATTAAGCTTTCGCAGAATGGGTATCTCTTTGCGCGTGGGATACTGGAACTCAACGTTGCGGAATTCAATGGTTGTCAGCGGCTCATTGAGGCTCTTGCCGCGCGGCTGGATCGGATTGATGGTTGGCATCTGCTCAATGATGTGGAATACCTTGGCACAGGCACCCCTTGCTATGCCAAATGCCTCAATATACGGAGATGCCATGCCTAGGTTCATGGAGCCCATCATAACCGAGAAGAACACTGTTATCATCGTGCCGGCCGTATAGTTGTCATAGTATGGATCGTGGCGACCGTTGATAACCAATCCAACACCATACCAGAAGGCCAGGCCATACGAGCCATAGATTAGGAACCACAAGAGGCCGAAACCAATGCCGGAAAACATATTACGCTTAATGTTCAGATCCTTGGCAGCGACGACTTTCTCCTTATAGGCGGCGACCTCCTTATGCTCGCCCTCAAACGCCTTGACTGTGCGTACTCCGGACAAAGCCTCTTCGGCAACGATTGCGGCACCAGCATACATATTGACCTCCTGCTTAGCCAACTTGGATGTGGCTATGGCCACAAAGCTCATGGCTATTAGGGTCACCGGCAGACTGGACAGGCAGACCAAGGAGAGCTGCCAGCCTTTGACAAAGGCAAGGATAATGGATCCAACGAACGCGACCATTAAATTCGCAAAAATCACAACTTTTTCGCCCAGACCATTCTCCATCTTCGATAGGTCTCTGTGGAGTTTAAGATGCACAATTTAAATCTGGCAAATATTGAAAGACTAGTACTTACTCGTTCATTCGGCTGGCTACCTCGCCGCTCGGATTGATATCGTACCAGCTCATGTCCTGATGCAGTACAGATTGGAAAAACTTGGAACGTATGCTCATTATTTGCGAGTGGGCAGCATAATTGAAGCATGTGATGGCCATGTAACTGCAGAAGAGCATTACAAGCCCAATGTAGGTCACGTTCAGCGAAAAATTTTGC